TGGAACAGTCATCAGCTGCAACCTGAGAGGAATTGCCATCTCAGCACCCATGTTACAGACCCCAAGACTAAAAGTCAGACTGAAGCTCCAGGACAAATTCCAGAAAGTAAAACCTTTTGAGAAAGCTCTGGAAAATAAGAATTTAGTATAGGATAATAATTGAGTCACTGGGTGGTGCAAATGGGTTAATGTACTTGGCTGCTAACAAAAAGGTTGGAGGTCTAAGTCCACCCAAAGGTACCTTGGAGGAAAAGGCCCAGTGATCTACTTCTGAAAACTCTGCCCTTGGAAACTTTATGGAGCACACACAGGGGTCAGGATGAGTCAGAATCGACTTGAGAGCAACCGGCATAGAGAGTAACAGTAAAGAGGCTGGACTTTGGAGCACAACAGACCCAGGTGATAATCTTACTCCATCTCTTTTCAGCTTTGTAGCATTGACTTTTCAGTTCCTCTGAATCTCATGATTCTCATCTGTAGCACAAGGATATAATATTAATGCCAGTCTCATAGAGTAATGGTGAGGACTAAACAAATAATATATGTAAAGTACTTAGTATAGCATTTGGCAAAATAAACACTCAAAAATTGTTAGCTATTATTGTTACAATAGCATCAGCATCATCTCTTCTATTGCTGCAGTAAAAAGAAAAGACTGTATAGGTTTATTGAGCCTTATTTATGTAGCTAGGGTCTGGGCAGGGAGGCCCAGAGATCTGGCAAAAATGGAGCTAGTGCTCAGGAAATAGAAGTGTGTATTAAAGCCCATCTAATGCAAGGTAGCTTCTCTTGAGAGCAAAGAAGTCTTCATTAGGGCCAGGAGCAGTCACTGGCTGGTGCTACAATCTGCTTTAAATCAAATTCACCAGGCTCAGGGTCTGATAACAGACTGATTAAGGAAAATGGGTACCATAAATTTGATTCAATATTTGAGAACAGAAAAAAGAGGTGATCATGTATCATCTGGGAAAAGCCTTCTCATGACAGCAGATAATCACTTGCATTTAAGATTTGTGAAAAAGTAAAGGCATTTTACAGGAGTGGGAGTAACACAGGAGCAGGCATGGTAGGAAAGAGCTATGGGCAATTACAGACTACACACCTCAGGTTTCTAGCAAAGTTAAAGCTGCTTTACAGTGATGAACTTGATTCCAGAGGTTCTTGCACTTTCAGTTCCTATGACCTCCTCAGCAGTCTCCACATGCACCTCAAACTCATCAGACCCCAAACCAATGTCAGAGTTCCTCCCTAGAGCACCATCATTACGGTTGAAAGAACTGATGTCCACCCAGCTGCCTAGGCCAAAAACCTAGGAGTCATCTCTAACTCTCCATTCACTAAAGTCTCATTGAATTTACCTCCTTGACATCTCTTTACTTTGTGGTGCCCTCTCTATTCCAGTCATTGTTGCCTTATTCAGGCCTTGTTTTCTTTCACTTGGGCTATGGAACTGCCTCCTGCTCATCTAATCTCTCTACCCTTCTTCACGCCAATTCACCCTGAACGTTACAGCCACAGGGAACTTTCTGAAATGCAACCTGACCATATAATTCCTCTGCTTAAAAACTACCTATGACTTAAAACTATTAATACAATAGAATCCAAATTCTTTAGACTAGCATTTGAGCATCTTTGTCACCTGTCTTATCTGTACCTTTCTCTCCAGTCATTTCCTCTCTCATTTCTCTTTATGTATTCTCTCCACACCTTGATCCACTGGACTGCTTCTTGTTCCCTGCACATGAGCTTTGCAGGATCTCTAACTTCTAGGACTTTATGTTATCCTACTGCCTTCCTCTTATTCTCTACAACCTACCTAGAAAAATCCACTTCAAAGTGCAATTCAAATTATCTGTTTCTCTGGTAAGCCTTCGCTGATTCTGCAAATAGAGGCACTCATTCCCTATCCTATTCGTGTTACTGTTACTGTATGCCACTAAATCATTTCTGACTCACAGACCCTATAGGACAGGTTAGAACAACCCAATAGAATTTCTAAGGCTGTAATCTTGCAACCTGACCGTGTATCCAAATCTTCCTGCCTTGGAGCGGTTGGTAGGTTTGAACCACTTAAGTCACTGTGCCACTGGGACACCTGGTACAGTCTCTCATGTATGCGATAGATTCTGACCACCTGGAATGAGACTTTATGTCAGAAAACAGTGGGAAGAACAGCGTAGTCTCCTAATCCTATATTCTTAACACCTCACCATTCAGGGAATAATCTTTAACAGTCAGCTAAAATATAGTGTGAGCCCATATTTTGCAGCCAGGCAGATATTTATTATTAGCCAATGCCATTAACAAACATTACCTTGATGAGGACACATCATATCCACCATTATCACCCTGCATTGTATGGTTTGTACTGCTTCTATTTGTTTCCCAAACCTTTCAGCCAAGAATAAGGACTCTCAGAGTCAGAAACCATGTCTGCATCATCTGTGACCCAGCACCCCTCTCCCTATTACAAACATAGATACTCATGAAATGGCCATGGAATTAGACCTAATATGCTGAAGTTCAACTTTTATTTTTCCATTAAAGGATCCCATAGTGCAGTGAAACGCTTAATGACAAACCTATTCCTTATCCTTAGAACCCAGTCAGCAGCAACACATATTCTAGAATCAGTGTTGTTTAATAGTATTTTCTATAGTGATAGAAATGTTCTACATATGTCCTGTTCAATACAGTTGTGACTAGCCACATGCAAAATGTGTCTAGTGCAAATGAGAAAATGGATTTTTAATTTTCATAAATTTTAATTTGAAAAGCCACATGAGGCTAGTGGCTACTACACTAGATAGGGCAGCTCTAGGTCCTCCTTGGCAAGAAGTCTCCGTAGAAAGTAAAAATTCCCTTAATAATTCAGCTTTTACAGGCCTTTGCTTTGGTCCTGAGGGTTTGAGGGACTGGCTACTGTGGGATGGGGTGACTTATGGAGCTCAAAACCATAGAAAGCCATGCTTTTTCAATGATCCCTGCCTACCTGTAGAGAGCCCGGGAACATTTAACACTCTTAGACGGATTAGTGGATTCAAGACAAATAGGGAGGGTTGGATCCCTGGGCTAGCTGTGCAAACCCTGACAATATCAGGGCAAGCTGACTGCTATGCAAACACCCTGTTGACCCAAAATTACAGAGCAGGGGACAGGAACTTGATGGAAACATAAATTAGAGGCCCTGGACAAGGGGTTAGGTTATCTGCAAAGTCAAATAGCTCTGTTTATAGGACAAAGTGTTTGCTGGATTCAAAACTCTTGTCATTTATAGATCACCCTAAGGCCAGTAAGCATCATTAATAAGGAAATATAAGAGCACCAAGAAGGAGAGTCAGCCTCCAGACTCTTCCCTCCCTCCCTCAGCTGCACAAAGGGTCCTTGAGCTTGAGCCTTGGCTTGTCTTTATGCCGTGATTGGGTGTCAGAGGGAGATGCACCCCAGTTGTGTATAGAGAAGGATGGGGGCTGGCTTTCAATGATGGGGTACCTTTTCTTTCCTTATTCCTGGTGCCTTAGAATCCTATGACTTCCATTATTTTATACTGTTCAATAAAGGTGGTTTCCTAAAATGGCTACTTAAGTGTGATTTATGCTTCTCATATGCATAAATTTATAAGGCAGAAAAGTCTCAACAGGTCATGTGTCCTGAATTTTGGGGTCAGGAAATATGCCCCATGTTTCCAAAGTGAGTGAGTAAAAAGGGTTCATGGAACAGCAAGGAGAAAGATGATCTGCTCTAGACAAGGAGGTTAGAAAGATTCTGACCACCTGGAATGAGACTTTATGTCAGAAAACAGTGGGAAGAACAGCTTAGTCTCCTAATCCTATATTCTTAACACCTCACCATTCAGGGAATAATCTTTAACAGTCAGCTAAAATGTAGTGTGAGCCCACATTTTGCAGCCAGGCAGATATTTATTATTAGCCAATGCCATTAACAAACATTACCTTGATGAGGACACAGATTTGTGTGTGTTTTCTTCACTGCTGCATCCTCTGGGCTTGGAACAGTGGCTGGCGTGTGCTCAGTGCTCAATCTTGTTTGAATGAACATGGTTTTATCACCTTCCATGTGGGATCTGAGGCCCCTAAAGGACTTAATTAGTGCTGACTTATCCTTTCATTTATCCCCTAATTATTGTGGGCCTAATGTATACAGGTCACTGTGCTGGTAGTGGGGATAATGATATGAAGACATGTGTGGGGAAATGGGGCACAGAGGTAGGTGCTGGGGTCACCAATACCAACCATCCCTAGCTCCAGGCAGAGGGCAGGAAGGGCCTTGTGGGAGCCTTAAAATCACATTCCCTGGGCCCCCTACCCAGCCCAAGGCTGTGCAGACCCAGAAGCAGCTGCCACCCTGTGCAGCCCACAGTTCACCATGTTTTGCACCCTTCCTTGTTCCTCTTTTCTGGGCAGAGCAAGGCTTGGCTAATCAAGCATTGTGGGCTTGGATCTTGGTACTCAAATACAGGCTATGGATTCAAATATAAAACCCTCAAAGGCAAGTCTCTTAGAACTTGTTTTCTCATCCATAAAATAGACAAAATAACCCATACAATGCCAGAGGCTATAAGCATGAAATAAGACAATAATATTCAACTACCTAGCCCAGTGCCTGGTACACAATAGGTAACCATGATGACTCCTGGGTCTCTTTCTTGGATTGTACACTACATCTCAGAACTCCTCACATTTTAGGGAAAGTTTAGATTTTACCTCAGTGATGCAGATGTGATAAACATAAGAATTTAGCACTGTGCTAAGCTTTACTATGCCATATCATTTATTCCCCACAACTACCTGATTAGGGAGGTATTGTTATCATCCCCAATTTACGAACTGAGAACCTGAGAAGCAGAGCTAGTTAGTGGTAAAGTGAAGTAAAGCCTGCATAGCTTTAATACCCTTCCTTTGGAATGCCAGTAAACGTGGCTTGCAGGGATTTGCAATGGGTTGGCTGCCAATATTTCCTCCCCAGCCAGCAGCCCTCACCTGTGTAGTTCTTCATCAGAGGGTGAGTACTTGGCAGTGACATCAGCCAGCTCTCCAAAGATCTGCTTGCTATAAACAGTGAGGGAGGACAGCAGGATTAACTCTTGCCATGTGGAGCTCAGGAGGCATGTGTAATCCTTGATTGAGAGCTCGCAGAAGAAAGGCAGTTTCTTGATCCAGGCAATCTGCCTAAAGAGCAGCTCATCGGCCAGGCGGCAAAGTAGGGCAAATAGTTCTGCCTGTGTCACCGCATATCTGGGGGATAGGGAAAGGGAAAAGTCACTTCCATTGGTTGGAGGGTAAGGGGTATAGGGAGAGGGTACTTCTGAGGGCATTAATGGTTGTGGCAGTGGGCTCCTTGCCCTTAACAATGGACTTCAACTTCCATTCAACTCAGGTTTCTGATAAAGGGCAGGACTGAAGCCAGCAGCTGTCCTTTAGTGCTGGAGGGGCAGGTTTGGTAAGAAAGAATTGCTGAGGGATAAAGAGCCTTAGAAATTTGTATATGTATTAGGGAATATGACTTTTAATGTTGATGTTCTCTAATACTCCATGTCTCAGAAAAAAATTCCAGTCACTCCTGTTGGGGCAATGAGAGCTCCAATAGGGTGGGATCTCATGCTGATCCAACACAGAAATGGCACAAAAAAGAGCGTCCAGGCCAAATGGCTGAAGCTTTTCCTGCTCTCACTGCACCCCCTGGTGGCAGGAGTTCAGGAGGCAGAGTTGCTCAGCTTTTCCTCTATGCTACTGCTAGGCAGAAGGAGCAGGGCATTTTGCACTGCTGAGTGAGAGGAAGCATCTGAGGCCACTGACTCAGAGGTCCCAGCTTTTTTGCCCTCCGGGCCCCCGGGCATAATTCTTTATTCCAACTCCTATGCTCAGATTTATAAAAGTTTTATGTGGCCTTCTTGTGGGTAGACATTTGAATCTCTTGTTCTGAAACTAGAGAATTGCTTAAGAAATCTCAGGATTCCTTTTTTGGTGGGGAAAGATGTCTAAGCTTGATAACAGACAGGTAAAGGAGTAATGGGTGCAAGCAACAGGTGGGATTGAAGACTGAACTGTTATCTGAGGTACAGCCTACTGAGCAATGAAAGTTTTCCTTCTACTCACTCACGCCTACACAGAGATACCAGGGCTACCCATGGCTGTGTTGGCTAGGGATAAAGACAGGTCACAACCAGTTAGGGACTTGAGTGCTCTGTTAGAAAGCTTAGACTTGATGCATGAATATCCCAGGAAGTACACAGTTCCATCTGTGGCACAGAAATGTTTAGACCCATCCCAGGGTCTGGCTTACCTAGTTCTAAATAAGAACAAAGGCCCTTCAATGCCAATTCCACAGAGATTGAAAAATGAGGGACCACTGACTTCAAAGATAAGCATGGATCTGTCTTCTGATGCTTGAGCCATCACTCATCATCTTCCCCCACTCATCCAGGAGCCTGAGGTACAGCAGCCAGGGCTGCAAGTGAGTGTGCAGGTAGGGAAACATTCTAAGGCTACAAGAAGCCAAACAGGGCAGGGCTCACTCACCCATCTTCAATCAACATAGGTGTGCCTAATGGCTCCAGGTCCTCGGCTGACAAGAGCTGGTGAATCAGACTGTATGACTGGGGATCCAAACTGCGAGCTTGTGGAGGCAGAAGTGGCGAGTGGCCAGAATAGCTGAAAAGGTGTGGTATGTATTGATAGTGTGGAGGCACAGACATACCCATGTACTGCTCCCTGAATGCCATGAATCCATTTAGCTCCACAGACCTACTGGAGAGAAAAGTCTCAAGTCAAACAGAATCATGGCAGGTCTAATGCCTACTCTCAAATGAAATGAACCAGGAGGTGGTTCAAGTATTTTGTGGAGATGAGGTCTGTGGTGTTCCTCAAGTCAAAGCATATAATTAATGGCCAAATGCATGCCTCCCCTACTAAATTCCAATCTGTGAAAAAGGAACTCCATGCAGGTACCATATCTAGAGAGTTTTTAATGGATACTGATAGACTATGATGATAAAGGTATGTGTTTGCTGCTAGGAAAAATAAGGCATAGATAGGTTAAGTACCTTGCCAGGCCACAAAACAAATCTAACACCTAACAGGGAATGTGGTATTTGACAACAATCCCCTACATATTCAAAGGAAGATACAAACAAAGGAACAACTGAATGAATAAAGGCTATAATGAAATATGAAGACAGTCTTGCCTCCTTCCCTTTCTTGGAGAAATCTAACCACTTTGTCAACTAATAAAAAGAAAAAAGAAAAAAGAAAAAAAAAAGACTCCTTTAGCTTTTACTTAGATGCATCTCCAAAACAGGAGTTAATAAACTATGGTTTGCAGGCCACATCCAACCCTCTTTTGGGAAATAAAGTTCAGTTGGAACATGGTCACATTTATTCATTTACATATTATCTATGGCTGCTTTTACACAATGGTGGTACTGAATTGTGAGCCATACAATATGGAGTACAAAACCCTTAACAGAAAAGAGTTTGTCAATCCTTATTCTACATGAAAGGTTTCTGAGGAAAGGAAAGCTTCCCTTGGTAGCCCATCACTCAAGAAAACATATCTAACTGTTTCATACCTAACAACATAAGATACCATACTTGAACCAAGAGTCCCTGGTAGCAGACAAACTTGACTGGTTTAAAAAGCTTTCTTTCTTTGTTAAAATTTATAAAGTGAAAAACCTGACTCATGTTTATGTGGAAAAACCATATTTTAACTCAATATTGTTTATGTGTTTTTTCTTATTTCAGTGATAAAGTAAATGAGGGAGAAGAGCTACATTTAAAATGTTATTGTTAGGTGAAGAATGTATGCACATGGATAATAGCTAAACATTTTATCAGTCTGCAGAAGAGGCTGTGGACATTTTCAAGGTCCTTTATATTAAACTATGGGAGCTCTGGTGGAGTAGTGCCTAAGGCATTTGACTGCTAACTAGAAGGCTGGCGGTTCAAACCCACCAGCCACTCCTTGGAAGGAAGGTTAGGCAATCTAATTCCATGGCGATACCCCCTCGGAAACCCAAGGAGGGGTCGCTATGAGTCAGATCCGACTCAATGGCAGTGGGTTTTGTTTGGGTTTGGGTATATAATACTGGTTCAGAAATTCTGCTTTGCATCATCCTGACCCTCATCCCAGAGCCTGAGGGAACAAGAGTATAATGGCTGACATAGCTTGGAAAGAATTCCCAGCCTAGAGGTTCCTTCATGATACTACTCTTAGGGCAGACTGTAGGTAATGCTGGGCTTTCCTCGAAGTTTACCTGGAGGACAGTGTGGAGCCTGGTGAGGGCTGGTTGCTCTCTGAAGCTCTGTTCCCAGGGGAACTGTGGTCACTATCACCATGGTTGCTCCAGTGATTGGCCTCTTCCTCAAATTCCTGCCCAGACATGATCCTTTCGATCTCTTCCTCTGAAATCTTTGACAGATAATCAATACATGTTATATTGGGTATTCAATCTCAGTTTCTCAGTACTGAGAGCATATTCAAACCTCACATGGATTCCCAGGACTCTCTAGAGAGAAACCCAGATTTCCCTGCATCCACCCACACTCGGGCATCTCACTAATCTCAAGATAGTTTGGTTGCTTGTCTCCCAGAATCATGGCTCACCATGACCTTCTTCTTGCCCATCTATACTACTCTCAAGCCACAAAGCCCCCGTGGTCTTTAACACTCCTTTTTGTTGTTGTGTCTATTCTTTTCTACCCCTGAAACACCACTCCTCAATGACAAACTCCTACTTGTCCTTTAAGACCCAATTATAATGTCATTTCCTTTGTGAAGCTCTATACCACCAACTAGACAGAATTTTAGGTCCTTGCATTCACTCATAATTCTGTATATTCTGAGAATGGCAGGATCACATAACAGTTAAGGGTATGACTTCTGGAGTCATACCAATTTTGTTCAAATATGGGTTCTATCACTTCCTAGCTGTACAATCCTAGGTAAGTCTTTTAACTGTTTGAACCAAAGTTCCCTCATTTTTATGGTGGGGGAGGATAATACTATCTACCTCATACGATTGTTGTAAGGATTAAATGAGTAAATAAATATCAAATAGATAGAAAAGAGCCTGGCACATAACAACTATTATAGAAATGCTAATGATGACAACATCATCACATTATTCTTTATAGCACTTATTGTAATGTATCATAAATATATCCTGTGTAAGACCAGGGTTATGATAGAACCTAGAAAAGAGTGTTGTTGTTGTTGTTATATGCCGTCGAGTCAGACCCGACTCACAGCGACCCCTCCTTGGGTTTCCGAGGCAGTATCACTACGGAAGTAGATTGCCCCATCTTCCTTCCGAGGAGTGGCTGGTGGGTTTGAACCGCCAGCCTTCTGGTTAGCAGTCAAGTGCCTTAGGCACTCTGCTACCAGAGCTCCCTAGAAAAGAGTAGAAAAGAGTAGGTATGCATTAAATGCATGTTGTATAAATGAACAAATATCACTTATTAAGTGCCAACCATATACCTTCACATGGATTTTCTTAATAAGAGAAACATTCCTAAGGTTACTAAATAAAAATGGCAGCTCAGAAAAGTGAACTGACTTCCCCAAGATCACACTGTGTGCTCATGTCTGGGGCAAGAGTTTGAAGCAAAGGCCAAAGTATCTAAGTATTCAGACCCGAAGTCCAGTATTCTGGCTATTAAACCATATAGGGAGTGAATAAAAATATCTTCTATGAAGTCTAACCCAGAGTAGACATCTAACTGGTTATACTTAGCACAAAGAATGGGACTGAGTTTTAAGGAACAGGTCCAGATGAGTTTTTTTTATCTTGATCCTACAGAAGCATTTAGAACTGAAAGCTAGCCAGCATACAGGAGTTAGATGGGAAATAAAAAGAGTTTAACTGGTATACAAATCGAGTGGCTGGTCAGGAATAGCTTGGATTGCATACTGAACTGGGAAAGGTTTCCTTTCTCTACTCACCAGCATGTAGCAAAAAACTCTGTATCTTTTCTCTTATGGGTCTGTGGAAGTCTGAAATGATTGTTTTCAAAGACAAACAGTGCCATTAAACGGCAAGACATCTAACCCCTTGACTGAATAATCCTCAGTGATAGTAGTGAGAGCAGATTGTCCCAGACAGGTGGGACAAAGAGCTTGGAAGGCACAAAAGCACTTGGGTTGAGTGAAAAGGGTCAGTCCCAGTGAAGACAGCTTACTCCAGCTAGGAGCCAAAGTTGAGCTGCACCTGTCTCTCGGAGGGTCCCATGGGACACTGGGGGTGGAACGTGTTGGGCATATAGGACCTAGGTCACTCAAGCTTCCTGAGTTTCAGCTCCCTTATCTAAGCTTCCTCTCTCATAGCTTAGGGTTCCCTCATAGGATGCTGAAGCAAAGTAGTATGCATGTTTGCCCAGAGAGACCTGGGAGACAAAGATAAAGTCGTAAGTGCAGGTGAACAATAGGTGCTCAATAAGTGGAAATTCTATCTTTCCTTCTACAATTAAGAACTTGTAGAAGGGGGTTCAGGCAAGATGGCGGACTAGGCAGAAGGATTGCAAAGACCCTCTTCAACAAAGAAAAGAGAAACCAATTAACACAGACACAGAAGATAATCTTGGAC